ACAAAATGGGTAAATATCTATACTACCTTATTAAACAAATTTACTCAAAGTCTTAAATTCTTAAATTTTTTAATACCCAAAATCCCCTTACAATTCCTTTACACGCCTCCCCTCCCCCAAGATGCCTCTTCACTTTACCCGGCTCCCCTCCCCCAAGAAGACTCTTCCCCTTATCGGCTCCCAAGACGACGATTCACTCCCCAAGATGGTTCCCTTTTAAGAGTCGTCCATCGTCCTTCTCAAAATCGTCGTTCCCACTGCCGAATCGTTCCTCAATCGCTTTCAATCGTCGTTTCCACCGTTGAATCGTTCAATCGCCTTCAATCGTCGCTCTCCAATCGTTCCTCGATCGCTTTCAGGTATGAACAATTTATCTGTTTGAGTTTTGTTTTTTAGGTTTTGCTTTTGGGTTTTGGGTTTTCGCTCTCCATCTGTTATTTCATCTGTTTGAGTTTTATTTTTGGGTTTTGCTTTTGGGTTTTGGGTTTAGGGCTTCATTTAGTGATGTTATTTACTGATTTTGTTATTTACTGATTTTGGGTTTAGGGCTTCAATTGTTTTCCTGTTAAATTGTCATTTGTTAAATTCGAAATTTGACCTGTGTTCTCGAATCTTTTTGTAGGTTTTTGAATATTTGGTTTACACTGTGTTCTCGAATCGTTCTGCTTACACTGTCCTTCAACCTTCAATCCATCTTCCAGGTAATTATTTGGTTTGTTTTGCTGTTTTTGAATCTCAATGGGTGTTGATTAGATTTGACTATTTACACAATGCACAGAGGGAATTCACTCTAAAGCTAGGTTTCTTTTCCTGCAAAAATTAAACATACTTTATACCAATTAAACCTCTTTGTGATTCTGTGTATGAAGGGTTTGGGTTTATACCCGTTTATGATTCTTTTAATCTGTTTTGGTTTGTTGTTTATGTATTAATCTATTCAAGTTTGTCCACTTCTTGAGTTATTCATGTTGCTTTGTAATCTTCTTTTTAGTCTTTAATTGGAACATGATAATGATATAGGGGGTGCTCGGTGTTTGGGTGTGCGTTCAGATCGATAATGGGTTTTCAGTTTTTGGTTGAGAGTGTTGATCATTTTGATTTTCTGATTATGCAGGATTAAAATATTTTAATTCTTGCTGTAAGAAAACTGTGATTATGCTCTTCAACCTTTTGTATTCAAGCTTCTCTACTTCCATTGATTCAACCCCTGTTCTTTGTACTTTACTTTTAGTTTTAGTTGTATTGGTTCAACCCCTGTTCTTTGTTGTGATTTGTTGAATCTCATAATATTTTTATCTTTGCATCTTGCTATGATTTATATAAGTTTTTAAATATGTATTAGTTGCTTTTAGGTCAATGTCTTTTTGGTTGTTCTTGAAGTTGTTTGGACTTTTCTATAATGGAAGTTCACCCCCATCCTTCAACAAGCCTTCTCAGACTTGGAGAGGTAATAGATTCATGTATGTCTGAGGGGTTCGTAACATTTTAATGCCAAGGCTTCCTTTCTCTTCTCTTTGTTTTTTTGTTGGTCTCCCTTTGTGTATGATTGATTTATCTGAATTTAACAAAGTCTCTTAAAATAAACTTCTAAAAGAAGCTTGTTTGAGCTTCTAATGACGAAGCATAAGCAAACTCTAGCCATTTTATGATGCATTTTACATTAGGGTGATGAGGGGTCTTATATACATTCATCAACTTTGGTTTTTCACTTGTGACATGATAAAGTTCATAGGCCCATCTTATCCATCTATAAATTGGTTTAACGAAAATTACTGATACAAAAACATCCTGGAACTAGGAATATCCTAGGTACTACTATAAAATATCTAGGATACATTTAACATCAAGAGAAAATCCTTGAGGAATCTATGTGATATAAGACTAGCGTCCTTGAGTATTCTGCATAACTCATGACATCCCTAGAGATTCTAGAAAGTCACGAGGTCTTTCTGGTGAATGCTTGGAAGGTTTAACTGAATGTGCAGGTAGACTAACCTGATTCAAACTTGGCTACTCCTAACAAATTCACAACCGTTTTTTCGCAGTTAGCTATAGCATACACAATGAGCCTCTTAATCGAAAATCATGGCCGTTGACATGTTGACAACAGACTCAAACTTAATTGCTTTTATGTGTTTTACAAGTTTTACGGGACTGTTGTATGCAACTGACTTCATGAAACAGTTGCATATTCTTTCAAAGAGAAATCGACATCATTTGTGTCTGTTTTTGGTTGCTACTTTATTAAAGATGGTCATCATATCTTGTTTTGTAGTTGGAGCCATATGGTAGTATCAACTGTGTCCTCAAAGACCCTTATAAGTTCCAAGGTCTTACCAGGGATCCGGAGTAGGAATTGTATTAGGTGAGTTATTTGCAAATTGCAATGTTTCAATTTAATTCTATAAAAAGAAATTCGGAATTTTATCATTTTCTTGCTTGAAAAAAAGAAAGAATAATCCTCTTCTTGCTAGCTACTCGTATAACAGTGTTATTTACTTCACAGAGAGACACTTTCGTTGTTCCAGGAGGAAACATGGTGTCAGGGAAGAAGACGGTAATCTATACACATCTTTATATCTATATTTGTTCCTATTTGTGTGTATGTGTCCTTTGATTATTAAGTTTATTGATTTCGATCTGGGTTTTTTTATGGGGATTACAGAAGAAGACTCATGAGAGCATCAACAATAGGTTGGCTCTTGTCATGAAGAGTGGAAAGTTTACTCTTGGATACAAGACTGTTCTTGAGTCTCTTAGGAGATCCAAAGGTAAAAAATGGTCACCATTCACCCATGAATATGAATGATGAATGTAAATGTGCATTTTGTTTGGAATTTATAGATAAAGATTTCTTTATCTTATTGTAAATAGTGTTTAAAAGGTGAAATTAACAGCCACTTAAAAGATATAATCATCAAACATGCAAATTGATGCAGGAGAGGGAAAGAGCGCTGAAATTATTCAAAAACGACGTTACTCCAATTTTGGTTGCGATTGTTGTTGCTTTAGAGTTTCCAGCTTCCTTTCGAACTAAGATGCAATTTTTATAAGAACCAATTTTGATTGATTTCTCAAGGAGATCAATAGATAGTTTCATAATACGATATGTCACGCATAACCAAATTAGAATAAATCGATTGTCAAATTTCAACATCAAATAGATTATTGGATTGTTTCAGTTCCTCCCAAATCAATTGAATATGAAACAATTAATGGTGTAGGGCCTGACAATTTCAAATACAAATCTTTATCCGTAATCGATATGCCTACTTACATCTTTTTAAAATTTTACATCCCGCCGCATTGCGAGGGTATACAACTAGTATATATATATATATATATATATTTATATATATTATGAAAACTGAAATATTTTAATACTTATATTCTTTAAAAATTAAGAGTTTCTTAAGAGGGGGAAACCAAAATAATTTATATAAAACACATCATACTCGTCTTCTTTAGGGATGTTTGAATCCTTGAACAATGTTTGGTATGCAGGTTGTATGAGACAAGATAGGACTGTTTATGTTTGGTATCACTAGAACATGACTCAACTAATTGTCTATCTTGTGTTTGATAAGCTGAACAAAACTATTAAAATGACCAGATTGTCTCTAAATGTTGTTTAATGTTTTTTACATCATATACTATTTATAAATGACATAAATCAACTAATTAAGCTGCATTTCGGTTGATCTAACTTGAAGTCCATTGAATCTTCTTTGGTCCATATAACTCGTGGAATCGAAATCTTCACATGAATTTTTCAATCCTAACTTCAAAGCAACATATATAACTTCAAATTTTATCGAAATCGAAATCGAAATTGACATATAACTTGTGGAATCAAATTTTTCACATGAAAGTGTAACCCAACATATAACTAGAAATCGAAATCGAAATAGACATATAACTTGTGGAATCGAAATCTTCATATGAATGTGTAAACCAACATATAACTTCAAATTGAAATCAGAATTTGACATTAACTCCTGAAACTGAAATCTTAACATAAATCTGTAAACCAACATACAACTTTAAATTGAAGTCCAAATCAGAATCTGATATATAACTTCTGGAAACGAAATCTTCACATGAATCTGTAAACCAACATATAACTTCAAATCGACATTCCGAATTGAAATAGAAATGGAAATATGATATATAACTTCTGGAGTAGAAATCTTCACGAGTCTGTAAACCAATTACAACATGTGGAATCAAAATCTTCACATGAATCTGTAAACCAACATATAATTTCAAATTGAAATCGAAATCACAATCGAGACATAACTTGTGGAATCAAAATCTTCATAGGCAACATAATTCAAAGTAAACTCATAGGTGGAATCGTAAACCAACATAAATCGATTTGAACCACCTCTATGAACGAAATCGAAGTCAAAAGAAAATCGATTTGAACTAGGCATGGAAATAAGACACGCCCCACTGGATAGCTCGGTGTACCTACCGCGACGGGGACAAAAATTCCCCGCAAAACTGGGGATCAGGGATGGGGATCCCCAAAAGTGAAAAATCAGGGACGGGACCGTTACCCGTCACCAAATATTAAATATATTATTTATAAAGTATTAGATCTGATATCTTTTAGATTTAGAAATAGTATTTTGACATATACTTTATATACAATTTTTATGAGTTCCTTTTTAGATAAAAAAAACGTTGAAAGTCGAAAGCGTTTGATCAAACAATTATTATGTAACGTGATTTTATTCATATATAAATATTTGATACTTTATAAAAAGCAAATTTTATAAATATGTGAATTTTAAACATGGATCATTATCGGTCGAGTGTGGTATTTAACACATTTGATTTAAAATATATATAATATTAATGAGGAAAAAATCTCCGATTCCCCAATGGGATGGGGATGTGATTAGATTCTCCGGTGGGATGGGGACCCGTCCATCCCCATGCATAATTTGAACCACCTACATGAACGAAATCAAAGAAAGAAATCGATTTCAACCTGAACGAGATGCTAGGGTCGATATTCTGGAACAAGGATGGAGGTGACAATTTAGGTTGGATACGTTTTTGGTTTTTGGTTTAGTCTTCAGATTTTGAAGCAAGGGTAATATTGTAATCTTGTTAAAATTAGTCCCATATTCTTCCACTTTTTTTAATGGAACAAACTTTTTCAAGTTTTCTCTCATGAAAACTCGTTTTTGTGTCCCTTCTATTTTTGTCCCATGACATACCAAACATGAGACTTTTCTTTTGTTCCGTCCTGTCTCACCCGATCTGCTTACCAAACACGCTAAATTTTGCCAGTATTTCAAGTGCTGCTGAGGCAATGACCCACAAATGAAAATGAAAATGAAAATGAAAATGGAAATGGAAATGAGTTCCATCCCTCCACTTTGTTAGAGGAACAATATTGACTTATTCCATTGCATCAAACCAGAGATTGTTAATGATTTCTATTTCCATTCCACCCCTTAAAACTTTACTTAATTGAGGCCCCATCAACCAAGTTACACTACAAATTGGACAAGATACAAGCTACTACTGTGTACATGATAACTATAACTTATGATGGTGTATAAATGTGACAAATAAAGATATAAATGAAGTTACATTAAGCTATTAATTATACTGAAATGAGACCCACGTATGCTGCATATAGCATCAATATAGATGAAACAACATATGCACCTGCAACAATCACAGGTTCCTTCACCCCACATGATTCAAGATGGTAATGCAATGGAACCATCCGGAACAAACGTCGCCCAATTCCGTGCACATGTTTTGTCGTGTTGAAGTACGATACCTACCAAGCAAGACTCAGATTAGAATGCAACAGGCGAAATACGTAATGAGTTTATTTCCTGCTGCACTCAACTTACCATGCTAATCAGGGGAATGTGTATCAAAATGTTTATAAGTTTGTATTGGTCTTAGTTTACAATAACAAACGCTCAATTCTTCCTATTTCACTTATGAACATGTTTTCAGCCTACGTGGCATCAGTAGAAGAATTGAACATTAAGTGAGAAATATATTCATCGTTACACAAAATCTAAACCGGTCAAAATGGGTAACGAAATAGTCGCATACTTTTGGTCGAAAATGAAATGCAACAGAAATGATCAGAATCTAAAACATGCCCATCAACTGCACCAAACCAAACGAGTCCGGTATATCCGACCCGGAAGTGGGGTCTTTGTTTGGGAGGGGGGGGGTTGTAAACGGATCTGTCCTCCACGCTAAAGAGTAGAGCGACTGTTTCCGTAAAGGCCCCTGGTTTATGAAAAATGTGCGATTTAACGGATGTAAGATCATAATTATTTAGCAACTGATACCTGCAATATAACAGATAGGACTTCCAACACAATGACTCCAGATGTTATAAGCAACGGAAAGAACATTCCTGTACAAGCAGCCATTGCAGCCAGGGCTCCACCCAATGCCAAAGTTCCAGTATCACCCATAAACACAGAAGCCTTGTGCCGGTTATGAAAAAGGAAACCAACACAAGCTCCTGCCATTGATGCTCCAAAGACGGAAAGATCTGGTTTAAATAGCAATAGCAACAACTCAACAAAAGCTCAATCCAATGTTCCAAGTCTATTTTAACTTTTAACAAAAGCTCGATCCCAAGTTAATTCTTTTTCATAACAGTTGGCGGTTAGACACCAGATAACAAGCCTCTACCTCATACTCCCACCTTTGTTGAGTGTATGTGTATAGATACAACCGGTATTCCATTGTTCCTCCCTCTCAATATATGTATGTATGTATGTATCTATTTATAAGCAAAAGCGTCCCCATTAGTGTTTGGTAGGAATGTACAAGTAGCTAATGCCTAAATGGTACAAGTAGGTAATGCTTGAGGTTGGGTATTATTATACCCCGGGGAGTGAGGTCTGATAAGTCAAATAAAAGTGGGCTGGGCTAGGAAGTCAAATATAATAGTCTTTGGTAGGAATGTACAAGTAGCTAATGCCTAAATGGTACAAGTAGGTAATGCTTGGGGTTAGGTATAAATAGGAGAGGTGAGGAGCGGGGAGGGCATTCTGTTTGATAAGACACTTTTTCGTCGTGAGTCCTTGGGAGAGAATCTGGCCTCTCGAAAGCCAGAACCCTTTTGTACGCATTCCATTGTCAATAAGACAACCAGAAATTAGCATTGATTTTACTGTTTTGATTCGGTTTACAACAAGTCAACACTCATCTCCAACTTTACTTACTGCATCCAAAAGTTTGGATGTTGTGTTCTCATACTACATAAAAATTAGATTATTCTGATAGTCATACATCATACTTGTTCTGTATTAATTTCCACTAGCATTACAATGAAGTATTTTCTATATTAATTCAATGAATATGATACATAAATTAGCAAGATACGATAACTTTTGATGCAACCAAAATTCAACTTCAATGAATCGTGAAATCACTCTAAATATATTAATTTAACGGTTAACAAATATCAGTATAATATAATAAAACCTCATGGTCCTAATAGTATTAATTAAAGAGGTTAACATGGTACCGAATGTTTAGTTCTAATATCATTATATGATCTAGAGATAATTACATTTTTATATTTTTAAGTGAACCATTAATGATACCTTGTGTGCGCCCAATCAACTTCATAGGTACCATAACTAGGTTACATCTACCTAAGTCCACCACTACAATCAAGTTCTATTAGGATTTAGGATGGAACGACTTATGGGCAGACAAGAATGATCTGATATCTACTGTTAAAATGGTATCAACGTCCAACTGTCACATCAATAGTCAAGTGAGTTCTGCTGTTACCACCCCCGCCCAAACCCGGTAAAATAATAATAATAACAATGAAATTTTAAGAAGAAATTGCATAAATAAATAACTTCTTCTCATTTCCCAATTTGGGCAATTTACTTCCTTACAAACAGGAAATAGCAACCTCCTCCTGTTTTCTTCTAGTTTAGGCAATATATTACCAAAATAACAACCTACTTCCATCAAAATTCCTGATATAAAAAAAACTAGAAGTAATTGCTACTTATCTTTTAAAAAATGTAAATTGCCTAAAGTGACAATTGAGGAAAAGTGAGTTGCTATATGCCCTTTAAAGAATAATAATTGTTTGTGAAAAAGAGGGATAGAACTGTTATGGTTTTAGCTAGTTTGCAAGCACAAAGCATACTAACCTGAACATATTGGAAGAACTGCAATGGACATTCCTATAAATGAAAGGGCAGCAGTTCCTCCAGCTAATCCATCAAGACCATCAGTCAACTCCACCCCATTTGCCATCGACACGAAACAGAATGAAGTTAATAATAAATAAGAACCACCCATGCAGACGAGGCCCAGCGGTAGAGGTAGAGGCACCACCATTTTGCTGCACAAAAGAGAACAAGCAGATATGAGATTAACTTGCATGAAGACACAGTTGTCCACAAATGGTTATAGCATTACTGTCATCTATACATATAGAAGTTAAGAGAGAAAAAATATGGCACAAGATTTGGCATCTAATTCACAAGACATTATATTTATTTATGATGTTTGTGTTTCTTAAATACCAATATGACTACATGAGAAAAAGTAACTTCATTTGCTACTTTACTGAAGCTATATAACGTTTTCCTCGGAACCAAAAAAAATTAGCTACTTTAGACTTCTCTTTAGAACCTGACAGTACCTGCAGCTTATGAAATATTAATATCATATAAAAATGTAACTTAGGTTGAATGGCCTACATATTGGAGCACCCTCGCATGCATCTTCAATTATCCTAACATTTTCCTTGACCATAGATTTACATCACATCACAATTCTACTATTACTGAAACATGCATGACAAAACAACTTCTTAAAAGTTTCAAACAGATAATTGCATTTAACTTACAACCTTAGAAAGATATTTGGAATTCAGATAGGAAACCTACAGCAATGCAGGCCATCTCTCCAAGTTTCTCATCACGTGGATATGTGGAACATTTAATTTCCAGTTAGTTGTTTATGACTTCTCTCCTTAAAACCTAAAGACAAATATGAAATGTACTCATATTTTTGTTTAAAAACATTTTTATGCTGCAAAGTCTGCATCTTGGAATGCCCCATGGCATCTTTCAGCTTTACAAGATTTTCCTTCTAGAATTGGACAATGTATAGCGCATGCCAAAGAGATGCTTGTCCAATACCAAGACTTGAGATTTCAGACTGTCCATCTTTCCTGACATTTAACCACATCATTCCCATGCATTGTTTTGTTCTCTTTGCGAAATATAGAAACAAAAAGTTGTGTTGTTCTTGCCAGGATTCATGGGTGAAACGGGAACTTCTTATAAATTTCCTTCATTGAATAATTTACACCCTTACACCTAAAAATTGCAACGGAATCATCACTGTCTTACGGGCCCATATGAAAGCTACTCTCTTTCCAACCTATAGAATGTATTAATGATACTTGTGTCCTCAATTGTCCTCTTTCCATCCCAATCATCCTCTCATAGGCCATCCCTCACTAAATGTCCTCTTTCCATGATGGGAACAAGAATACTAGATGTCATAATGGAAGCTACCTGTTTGAAAAAATGGGATACCTATTATGATATGGTCTAGAACAAAAAGAAAGATACGTAAACAGGCATGGACTGAGAAACTATTAAATGGTCCATGGATCTGAAAATACTCGAGATTGCTAAGCCTACCACAATTCAAATAGCATACTAGAGGATATCCTAAAAGACAACTAATTAATATAATAATAAAAGATAACTAATAAACTACTGAAACATCCTGTTCCGGGGGGTATCGTCCTTTGCCCTTAGTACAAGTGAATGAAAGAAACTTCATATCTTAAACATTTATTTCATTATAATAGAGTTATTACAGCAGCAGAAATGCATAAATTTACAACTTATAATATTCTAACATCTTAGAATAGCAACACTTCAGCTTGTTCCTACTCCTTGATTCCTGAGATACATACATGAATACATAAGCTTTAAGCTTAGTGAGTAGTCATGGTTTCATGATAAAACATTCTTTCCAAATAGTTAACATAATTCTTAGAAACTTTCATGCATAAAATCATTTCTTTGAGATCTAATGGTTTAAGTAAACCAACTTCTCACAGGTTCTTTAACCTCGGGTCCACATAAGGGCTGCCCAATAAGATCCGTTTGCAAGACGTACCTTCTTTCTATATCCCATACGTTGGATATTTAAATGGTTATACTTAACATGTATAAAAACTTTCATATACCACATGTGCATCATGACATAAGAGGTGTACTTTGCCATATAACCATAACATAACTTTTACAAGAAGATATTTCATGCATAAAACATTTATATATATAGCATGTATGTATCCCAGTGAATCTCAAAGCGTACTCACCTTGATTATGCCTAGCTTTTCCCTTAATTCCTATCTTCAAGCTTGATAAGGTATAAAAAGAGAGATTTCTTATTTTTGGTATAAAACGAATGGTAACACTTCAACCACTATTTATAGGTAAATTCATTGCATTAGCTACTTGTTCTTCTTGCTCCCAAAATTGTACTCTTATGATAGTTTAATCCCTCATTTTTGAGGATAAGAGAATCTTGACACCTCATGCTTAATATAAAAGAATCTTGACACCTCATGCTTCTAGCTCTTATTTGTCATGCTTCTAGCTCTTGCTTATCCTCATGATTTTTGCCAATACATGCTTCTAGCCTTGACAACTCATAACTAGCTTGCTTTGTCATAAAGAGTAGGCTTGCTTTGTCATAAGATTTTTGTGCCTCGTGTCTTTGTTTATAAGTAGCTTTGTAAGCTACTTGCCTTATAAATATGATAGTTGATAAATGCTACAGCTGTTGAACTCTTTTAAGAGTACTTAATTTACTTACAAAATCTTGTATTTAAGGCTTAAACAATGAGATTTAGTAAATAAAGAAACTAGGGTGTTACACTACTAAGCCTTCAAAGTTCCACAAATCACCCCACACCCCCTTGAGATCTGAGCTTGTACATTCTATCAGAACGCTCAGGCATATCAGAATGTTTCAGGGTAAACATTCTGTGCATCTACTAATGATTTTAAGCATTAACATACTTATCAGGGGAGATGTTGGCAAAGACAAGAACATAAATTTTTTATAGCGTATTCAAGTTCCAGAATGACAGCAAAATTAGAACATACGATTTTTCACTGCAAGATTTGCATCTTAAAGAAAGATGCGTGAGTTACCATCAAAAGTGTTGATCAAAATAGATACAAGAAAGTATACATGCTGTACGGTGATGATATATTCCTGGTACATAACCAAAAATAGAACCATGTTCCAACAGCTACCTGTGCAACAAGGATCAAGTAAGAGCTCATTCATAGATTTCCATTGTGGGGAGAAGATAAATCATCTAATGATTAGCATTAATAAAAGCTTTTACCTCCAACAGAATTCTTATCCACGGATATAAGCCATTCTTCCTCCTTTTCACCAGTCTTAAAAAGTCATCCATTAGTCCAATTGTGGCAAATGCTATAGTTGCTGCACAGGCTCCTGAAACTTCTATAGAAGAAAAACCAACTAATACTTCAGCAACAACTACACCAATAGGTATAAGAAACAATCCACCCATTGTGGCTGTTCCCTTCTTGGAGGAGTGCCTAGCAGGCCATTTGCTGATAATCTGTTGCATCCTTGAAATACGAAATAAAGGAACACAAATATAGCCGGCACAAGACACCAAAACTGCGGAGGCTGTAAAAGGGCATATCAAGTGAAATGGTGGTAAAGGAAGTCTCACTATGCGCCATGCATGCGAATCCAAAAGTAGTAGAAGTACTGTCAAAAAAGTAACAAGGCCTATGTTGATGAAAATTCCATATTTAATCCTGCAATGCAAATTTAAGTCAAGTTACAAGCTGAGAGGCTTGTTGACCTATCAAAATAATTCTAAACTAAGAACATTAATTATAGACCTTGTCGCACAAATTCAATCTCGGAACATTCACAATAATGACTTACTTTACATTTTGGTCACTTGCAATCCAGATTTCAGGTGTCACCATTAACTTCTGTACATCTATGGAATATTGGTGAGTTAAAACTCTTTTCAAACTAATTTTAAACAAAACCATGTATTCAAAATTAAAATAGAAGAGAATACTAAGTTTGTCATGTATCCACAAAGTGCTCTAGAACTTATACTGGTTAGGAAGCAACTTGCCCTCAACAGTAGTAGAGTTCATCCCTCTGAAACATTGTGAAAGATAATGGTACATTTCTTCAAAATAGATTTTAGAAGGCAGTTAAAACCTACTGCTAAAATGGCACTTCATAACATAAGTGTCAAAAGGAAAATGTCATATCTTATTTGGGAAACTAGTCAATTAGAGGTCGAACAGTTGAAAATTAAAAAACAATTATTCATCTACAGGGGTTGATATGAAAAAAAAAATTGGGTTTATAAGATACTGAGAAAAAAAAAATCATAAACTAAAAAGAAAACGGGAAATTCACAACCTAACACTCCTAATCATACTATCAACGACAGCACCAATCGTGAGGAATGATTTTTGTCCAAAATAACCTCATATAGTTTCACACCCTATGTTTCCTATATTTCATTCTAGCATTACCTAACCTGCATTGTCAAGAACCACTTTATCGACGATACGGATCGTTCAATCTCTTAGGGGCTGTTTAGTTAGAGGTATTAAGCAGCAATTAATGGGATTGAAAATAAAGAAACTGTTTGGTTTTATATTATATAATGGGTCCATTCCCCCATAAGCCCAAATTTTCATTCCAGGCTAAGCTGGGGGAATGAAAATTCGTTCCCATTTTCAATCCCTGTCATTTTCATTCGCCTGCCTGAGCCAAACAGCCCCTTGCCCCTTAGACTTCATCCACTCTCTGATAGCAGCTAAAGGGACAGATATAAATCAAAAGATCTTTCTCTGTTTACACATCCCAACTTCAGATACAAGCATTCCCAAACAAAAGATCTTTCATCAAATGTGATGGTTTTGTTTCTATAATGAAAAGATAACCTGTAACTACATCTTAAGATGTGGAATAATATGAGCCACAAATACTTTTTGCTTCCAAAAGCCGCCAATACTGGGTTAGAAAATAATCTATTTGTTCTTGCCAATGTACAGTGTTATGAAGGTATAAAGATTCATTGAGATTAAAGTAATCCAGGTCATAAGTTCCAGCTTCTATCTTTTAATGTGAGCAAAAGATAGTAAATGCCTTCAGAAATAGTTGTTTACATCAATCAGCCAACAGCAAAAAGTCATTTGGATGGGAAAAGGAACATAATGGACACTTTAAGAGCTACAAACATTCTATCAAGGTAAAAAGGGAAAGAGTGGACCATCTCCTAAAAATTAGCAGCAACACTATATGCATGGGCCATGGTGTATTTGTAACCAAATGTTGAATCTTAAAAGATGTAAGCATGAAAGGATATCCTTACAGGCTACAGCATAGCTACTTATTACAAAATGAGAATATTTTTATTCTTAGAAACCCTTATATTTATAAAGCAACAACAAAAATGTGGAAAGGTGCTTTTGCTAGAATATATATATATATATATATATATATACTAAAATGGATGCCTGTCATAAGAACAAAAGGGCCAAAACATATTCTTTAGGCATTTTAAAAAAAACATTTACCATTAAATTTCCCACTGGTGCATATTACCTGCCGTGGGAGGGCAAAGGAAAGGGCCAAAGAGAATAAAGAATGAAATTCTTAAATTTATACTCCTACAACTACAGGCACTAATTTAGATAATTCACTGGAAAAATAATTGGATAGTTCTACTCAAATGGTTCTCCTTAACCCGAACAAGTGACTGAAGAGTGAAACAACAGCTAAAGTAAAACAACCTACAAAAACAATTGATCATTTTCTCCAACCACATGGTAATTCTTTCCATAGTCTTTGTTCAAATCAGAACTCAAGATGAGTCACAAAGAGAGTACATTTCACATTAAATGAATCTTATTTATTTTTGGTATCTTCCTTACTTAAAGTAACTGATATTGCTAGTATTTACTATTTAGTCCCTGCTGATCTGTCCCACCGGTAGAGGTGTGGGTGTAATCCATATGAATGAAGTCCTGGGTTCGATCCTGGGCACTGCTCCTTTATCAATGGGATGCATACGCTGATTTTACCTCCCCCATAATGACCGTGGGACCAGTACAGTGGGGGCAAAAGCATCTTAACCATTTATAGTACTCCTTGCACACTCAGTGATCTACATTTATGTGAACAGAGTGCAAAAGCATCTTAACCATTCTTTTATTAAGCTCATTCCACCCTCCTTTCAAGATACGCCCACGTGATGGCTTCCATCTTTTGAACTTCAAAATTTGTTTATATGGACAACACATCACCCTGAAGATCCAGTGGACTGAGAATCCAAACTGAGCCAGCATGTTGGCTAAATATTTTTTATGGCTCAAAGGATACATAGCACATCATCAAGGATACAACCATTTGGTAGCAAAACCACTATTAAGTATCTTACCTGCTTCTCCTTTGAGATCTACCCATCATTGTCAGCTTCTGAGCAGTTACTGTTAAAGCATCATCAGATTGATGAAACTGATCCCTTGATGTTGGAATATCAACATCAGTGATTGGATTCAATATGATATCTCCATCACTTTCTTCACCTTCACTTGATGAAAAGCTGTACCCGACAGACCCATCACTGTCAACTCTATCATCTAGTGAAAAACTAGAATCCTACAAAAACAGAGACAATTGGATAAATTAATTCAATTTGATATGCATTTGCATAGATGAATTATATATATCATGACTATTTCCAAGCAAGATGAGTATAATTGTACTTCAACCATAAACGTGTTCCCTACAGATATATTCACCATCGAAGAGCAAGAGTAAGCGACAGAGAAAAAAAGAGGCAAGGATTGCATTTTAATTTGTGACCCTCTTCAGAACTTCAGACCCCCAGTATATGCAAATTGTACATTCTTCTAAAGTAGTAGTTTTGGTCCCATCTAGTTCCAAGACTATGCTTTAGTCTATAGGCATTTGTATATTCATGTTGGCCTTACTACAGAGACTAGAACAACCACATGTTAGAAATTTTCATTTCCACATTATAAAGTGATGGAAGAATGGAATATGATGTCAGGTCCACTGGTATTTACAAAAAATAGAACCCTGGAAGGTTGACTTGAATGCACTATGACCCTCTTTGAATTGTTCATTCGCATGAATTCTGAGATCCTCGAAATTTTGAGGATGCTTTTATTGCGTTTGGAATTCTTGACCTCCATATCAGGACCATGAGCACCTTGGTTGTTTGTCCAACATAGCAGTACTTAGTTGCATACCATGTTATATGAGTTGTAACTTTTGCCTACCTATTTGCATGCACATTGTCATGGATTATCAACTCTGGCGCACCCGATTATATGACTAGGAATAGATCAATGTATCAACAATTAGTCTCTCTTCATTCACCAATTGATGAGCCAAAGGTTCTCATGCCCTATTGATGGCACATTATATTATCATTTGTTTCTATACATCCACACCTTTCTTAAAAGTTTTATGTCTTTAACCAAAATACAAAAGTTTCTGATTGCTTTCTACTGCTATTCCCCTTTACAAATTTAAGGAGTTCATTAATCTTAATGACTTTACAAAATAAGAGGTATATATTAGGGGTGTTTGCGGTCCGGTTTGGCCGGTTTAACCTCTCAGACCACAAACCAAACCGTAATGGCAGTTTATAAAATTTTCAAACCGAGCGGTTTGACATCAAGTGTCCAGACCAGTCAAACCAGACCACGAAAAGGCGGTCTGGTCTGACCGGTTTAGGCGGTTTGGGCCTTTGATGGACTTTAAATGTTAAACTTAAAAACATATATAATTTAGAATTTTAAATTAAATATCCATTTTGATTATGTTAGATGTTAGACTTTATGTTGGGCTTAGGGATATATTTGAACTATAGTCCATAAATTAAAAAAGTTGGATTTGATAATATTAAAATAAATAATTATATATATATATATATATATATATATATATGGCGGTCGGTTTGGTCCAAACCGCGCAAAAAATGTTCCAAACCGCAGACCGGACTGAACCGCCCGATTTTACTATTTTTCAAAGCAAACCAAACCGCCAGACCGCTCAAACCGCCAAAAACGGTCCGGTTTGACTTGGTTCGGCCGGTTTGAGCGGTCCAATGATTTTTTTGAACACCCCTAGTATATATCATAGACACAAGTATCATGGCTTCTCATTGCAATTAAGACATCCCTCTCTTGTTGATATGAAGAAACTGAAACCCGAGTTTTCCCCTTTAATCTACATCTCAGCCAAGAGAGCATGCCTGTATTTCCTAACCCACTAGGTCTATTCGCTGTACATGCTGGTACTCTTTTCAGTTCATTCACTCGTATAGTCATATGCTTAGGGGAAAAAAGTTTCCTCCGTGAGCCAATCTTCTTTTATGTATTTCATCATATTTGTTGATGACCATTCTCATGCCACATGGGGTTTTATATATTAGAACAGAAGTAAACTCCTTTCTTTGTACTATATATATTGAGGTTTCCTTCACGTAATACAATAAATGATTACAACTCTAATTGTTTCAAAAAGAGAGGTCAATGCATCCTTCATCGACAGCCTCCCTCCTATCCATTATTCACATATATTCTGCGCATCATCAGCTTCCGACTGCTAAGTGCAGTTTCTTCTTGTCACTGACCCTCGTGTTTTGCGTACTGGCCAACAACTCAACACACCAACATCTCTTGATCTCAACCAATCAGCAAGATGTATCTCAACCTCAAACTCCTTGTGCACCATTCATTGCAGGTTCAATAGCTATGCAAAAAAGAGAAACATGCTTGCACCTCAGCTCATGTTGATACAAATTTACCAAGCCCATATTGCTAAGCATTAATCCTTGTACACCACTTCTGCATATCACCTTTTAATCCCAAGAATGTCATGGCTCTCCATCATCATGGTATAGTGCAATGGTACATTAAAGACGATGGTACTTGGGTTTTGAGACTTCTTCCCCACTAGGAAGTTATTTGTTGATTGATTTTAATTGTTCTGATGGTATGTTGGATGAGATGGTACTTGCTTTTTGGACCTCTTCCCTACTAGGAAGTTCTTTGTTGATTGATTTTGATCATTACAAACTTACAAATGCATTTCCCATTGATGTCTTTCTTCATGCCTGAAAGATTATCAGGTGGTAAAGGGTTACTCTGATGAGTGATGACTATGGTAATGATCATGAGACATTTCCCCTATGCCTACCTCAGTCCATACTTGTTTATCTCATGTGTATGGTCTACTAGGGTTTATGGTTTAAGGTCTTGAAATGGGTATTAATTGATCAGCTACTAGATTTCTTAGTTTAAGAGCTGGAGTCCATTTGTATAACCTATATAGTCCCCTCAAGCCTTGTTCAAGATTTTTTCTTTTTGAGGTGTGAGTACAAATAGAAATCCTCTAAACAAACATGGAAAAACATTCATTCTATTCATATATGTACATGACACTGGTTTTGCTACATGATGAGTCTTAGGGTATTGCTAATCCTAAGAGCTTCATTTGGAAACTTAGGGCGCTAACCTAGGAATACTCTATTGAGACAAAGGTACTACAAACAACAACGTTAAGGGATCTTGCTTTAATAGATGAAGTATTCCTACAATTTGCATCTGTGTAGCCTACTTAGGTGCAAACCAGAAACTCGGTCTCAAACTTTTTGAGCCAGGATAGGATGCTTGTTAAGGATCTCAACAGCTACACTAGACTACTAACAAGATCTCAACCATATAAATGTCACAAAGCATGATTTCGCCTGCTCAACAAGCACTTTCAGGTAGTTTACTTCTGATCTCTATGATAGCCAAGCGATGTTCTAGGTATCTCAATTTGGCACATCAACAAAACAAAATTTGAAGAAATAAATCGACTAAATTAGTGTCTTCATCATAAAAAAAGTTTATTCGTCAAAGGCTTTTGGATGAATTCTCTTAAAGTCCAAGGAGGTGATACTTGGGTATGTGGTGTAGCTACAAAACCCATCATATAATGGCTTAGAAGTGGGTATTATATGTACAAATAATCAGTCAACGTATAATTTTGGATTTATGGTTAAACTAGAAACAAGGAGAAGATACCCAATCCATGACTGCAACTACAAGTCTGTGCCTTGTAGAAGAATGCCCATATTTCTGGATTCTCGATCCCGATAGCTGTAGAAAATCAACAGAAAATATCAAAAGTTAGATATATAAACATATTTAAGTAAGAGAAGTTCTGATTGCAGTAAACAAGAGTGTGATACTTTACCTTGAAGTACAAACGGTAAGGAAAATGAGAATTAAATGGAACGCAGTGAATGCCTGGTTGTGGAGATCGAATTAGGGGGTTTAGAAGCCCTGATCGCGGGAAATTAATGGATGAACAACAAGAATAAGATCGCATGATTAGAGAAGATATTAGTCAGTTGGATACATGGAGAGAAAGCATATTCTCTGTTCTTAGTTATTGTACATCCATGGCCATACGCAGACAATGGGGGAAAGGGAACGATCCGAAAGGGACACAGAGCCTGCTTTGGTGTTAACGATGGCGCCTCTGTTAGTTTGCAAGGGTGCACCATCAAATGAAGGCATATTCTTTATTCTCTTGTATGATATGTAATTTAGGGGTGGTTGATCTTTATGGATACAGGGGGTGTTAACAAGTTATTACTTATAATAAACATTTTTTTAGTGTTTGGATAAACAATTTATATTAGTGTTAAACTGGTAATAAAAAGTTTTTAAAGAAGTTAAATCCTTTCGATTTGTAATAAGTTGATAAGTACTTTTATAGAAAAGTATAAGTTGTTTCAAATAAGCAAATCCCAAACACCCCATAATTGTTTGTATATTAACGAATAAGTTGTTGTTCGCTGGTTGTGCTGAATAAACAGTCTGAATATCAGAAATGACCATTTTACCCTTAATCTTTATTTTTGTATGAATAAAACAACAGTTTGATAAAAATGTTGAACAAATGACTTTTTAATTGTAAGCTTTTGTGGATCAATTATTACATTAAGTACCCATAACAAAAACAACACAGATCAAATGAAACCAAAATGTTGAATCAAATGAAACCTCAATTCAAAAGAACTCAAATAAGTGAAACCTTAAATACATGTGAATCAAAAGAGTAAATATTTGACAAAAAAAAAACCTTCTAGAAACGTTTTTTTTTACAAAAACCTTCATAAAAACTCTAAAAATGCCGATCAGCATCACCAAAATCAAACATTCTTCAACTGTTGATTTAGGTTTTTCCTCGAATCTCGATCGTGAGCGGAAACGATTGGTTTCTTCGAAGGTGGTGGAGACAGAACCGACACGATGGAGGAACCGGTGACGAGTACCGGAAAGGGCATGAAAGTGAAACTCAGGTGAGCCATATGTATGCAGTTGTGATTTTAGCATCAATGGCTCCCATTGAGATGTCGAGGATTTTGTATAGTGGAGGAAAATGGCTTTGTGGGAGAGAGAGCGATGCACGAGTGGTTGCAGGGGCGGTGATTGGAGGCGGAGGAAGTTGAGACTCGTTACAGGGAATGAATCGATCCAAACGGCGGCGAGGTTGAAGATGAAGATGAAGACGGCAAGGTTGAAGAAGTTCCATCTAGGTTTGATAAGGAATGAATCGATCCAGATAGACATGCTTCAATTTTGGGGGAAAAGAAGGAAAGGGCATATTTGGAATAAATGGTTGAATAAGTGGCTGAGTCCATGGGACTCCACTTTTCCGGCTGACCGGTTAAGCCATCCGCTGACCGAATAAGCCAAAAGCGAATAACAATGTATGGCCGACCGAATAAGCCATACAGGCTTAACAGCCCATTAAGCCATCACCGAACAACCCCTTAGAGTGAACTACTATTTTCCCCCTCACGATTTGTTCTTTATAAAGTTTTTGTCCAGTTCTTCAAAAATTAGTAAACTACGATTGTCATTAATGTGGTTTGTTATTTATTGTCATTTTCGTTCTTGGTCTTTAAAAATTGTTTTATTCTCATCGCGATTTATAATTTATTTTATTTTTCGTTCTTAGGGCTAACTTTGTTAAAAAAAAGTCAGTTAAATAAAGGGCATCACTGTCTTTTTACCCGTTTTTATTTTAAAGTAAATTACGGATTTGGTCCTTATGGTATGCCGGTTTTTACGAAATTGGTCCTTAGACTTCATTCACTACATAGAACACCTATTGGTATGAATTTTTTTCACGTATTTGGTCCCTATACCGAATGACCGTCCAACAGATCCGTTAAGTTTGAGGGCAAAATAGTCTTTTTAAGTTTTTGCATTATAACAATTTTTAATTAAACTTTTTTTAAATCAAGGGTAAAATGTATGAAAAAACTTAGAAAGCCAAAAGAGGAATGTCATATTCGTCTCCAATTCTTGGACGGTCCTCCCACTTTACACTGTCGGCATCAGCCCTACTTCATCCCCGCACTGCTTCAACGTGCAAGCTGTATGGGTATGCATTGTGTGTTGTAGATGTTTGGTATGTGTGTGTTTCACTAGAAGAGAGATCTGATAACTACATCCCCACTTTCGTTCCCAACACCATACCACACTAACGATGAAACCTCCAAGGCTTCATGGAACCTTTGTGAAAACCACCGAACGACCATGAAACCTTCACTGTGTATGTGTGTTGTGTGTATAAATCGATGAGAACACTGATCTACATAAATGATGTGAATAAGTTAACGAGAACACAAATCTACATAGATGGAGGTCAGGGGTTTCCTCTACGATTGTTTATGTATATCGAGTGGGTGGAGGTGGTTCATTAGACCTAAAGGCACAGATAGAGAGGGATGATGTTCACCAGACCAACGACAAAGATGGAGGTTGGATCTTTCATCAGAGGCATGTGATTATGTGTGTGTGTATATATATATATATATATGTATAATGTATATTAAATATAATATTTTATGTACATACATAAGTTTTTAAAAAGTTCATTAGAAAAAGACAAAGAGGAAATAAGAGGACATAAATGACCTCATTTAACTAGGGTTAACAGAAAAAGACAATGGATATAAACCATAGGGACCAATTCCAATACAAATGTGCAAACCACCAGGTCTTTTACGTAATAAATGAAGTTTAGGGACCAATTTCGTAAAAACTTGCATACCATATGGACCAAATCTATAATTTACTCTTTCTTATATATATATATATATAGAGAGAGAGAGAGAGAGAGAGAGGAGGGAGAGAGGGGTTTACTTTGCAAACCATGTTTTTTATACAAACCTTACAAACCAATTACATCTATCTATTTTCATGATCAAAGGTCACGATTAAAACAAGTTATTTTAGTAAAGTAAAAAAAATAAAAAGAAAAGAAATTATTATTATTTTCAACAAGAAAGGGAAAAATGGGAACAAAATGTAATTTGTGCGATCATTGAAATCCTTTTCCTGCATTCAATCCCGTCCAATCAGAAGTAGAACCGTATCAAACGTGTTTCAATCGGAATACGCTTACCAAAAGAAAATCTTGTAATAATCGGTTTTCAGTATTAGTTGATTATGTTTCGAAATCAAATAGTTATGGAAGTTCAAGGGTAAAGTGTTAGCATTTGTCAGAAAATGAGGGACCAACAGTGAATATTGGTCACCTCCTTGTGTTGTTTAAATTTTGGTCCAATAAGGGTTTAAAAATGATGGTTATGCTTGTGGGGAGGGCGTGCATGGGAATGCATGCCTCAAAACCCCCTTCTTTTGATGCTTGAAAATGTTACTATATATAGTAAGTAGGAGGCAATTGTGGGAAGTTTCTGATTTTGGAGGAAGAAAATTAGAAAACTTGATTAGCAAAGAAAAGAAGTAGAGCATTCAGTAAAGTCTCAGAAAAAGGTGAGTGTTATATGGCTTTGATAATTTATGAGTTTTACCTTTCATACAAATACTACTTGTGTTATAATGTTAGATACTATTTCACTAAATCTGTTTTGAGCTTCATCGCTCAAAGCTTCATCTAAATTGAGCCTTCATCGCTCAAAGCTTCATCTGAATTGAGCCTTCATCGCTTAAAGATTCATCCGATAAGGACCCTCACCGCTCAAAGTGTTGTTCGATAAGGACCCTCACCGCTCAAAGTATTGTCCGATAAAGACCCTCACCGATCAAAGTATTGTCTAGATTGACCCTCATCGCTCATTATATTTTATGGATTGACCCTCATCGCTCAGAGTATTGTCCGGATTGACCCTCATCGCTCACAGTGTTTTCTGGATCGACCCTCATCGTTCATAGTGTTATCCGGATTGACCCTCATCGCTCACAGTGTTGTCCGATAAGAATGTTTGTGACCGATAGATGAAATGGCGGTGTAATCGCGATAGATGAAATGGCGGTGTAACCGCGATAGATGAAATGAAGGTGTAATCACAATAGATGTTGGATAATTTATCATTAAAAATCAGATATGAATTGTATTAAAGTGTTACAACAGGTTTCATTTACAGGAGGGAAATTCACTCAATAGACCTTTCGGTCTAACCCTCATTTGTTGTAATAATTTATTTTGCAGGTCATCAATCAACAAAGTATAAAGGCAAAGGGAAGATGTAATGGGATTATGGAAGAAAGTTTTGTTATGACGAATTCTTTTGTTAATCCATGCTATTGGGTTATTATATTAAATAGACTTGAAATGTTTGTAAATATTGGAACCTGATGTATGTTATAGCATAAATTTTGTTAATTAGTACTTGTTAGTACATGGTGGGTTGTTACATTTGGTATCAGAACCTTAGTTTAAGAGATCTAGGTATTATCCTGATACTTAGACTTAAACTGGAGGCGTTAAATATGTGATAATAGGTTCCATTGTGATTTTGAACCTGGGAATGTGTTATAATTGGGCATAAAGTGAAGGAAAATATGATAGATCTAGATTACATGCGACTAATGTAATCTTGTGTTTAAGGTGTCTGTTGGAACATGAACATACCATTATACTAAAATATGTGATTAATTGTACATATGTTGATTGGCAGTTAAAGTGATAAGTAAGATGGCAGATAATCCTATTCGTTCAGGGAGGAATGTACCTATGAATTATGAAGAAGGGAATCCTGGATTAGGGAATACTGTTGAGAGAACTTCTACAGGCCTCGGAAGAGGCCGGGGAAGAGGAAATTTGAACACTAAAATAAATCCAGAAATTGCTACAACTGTAGAAACAAAGAGTCGAGGTCAGGGCCGAGAAAGAGGAAGAGGTGTTCAACAAGAAATTCCTACAAAAAGAGATATGTCAATATAAGAAAGTTCAATGTCAGGGTGTGGAAGGGGCAGAACTAGGAGTAGAGGTCGTACTTATAATCATGGGTTTATTACTCAGAAAATATTAACTGTCGAGCTGGGAAAATTTTAGGATAATGTAGTAAATTTGTTAGGGCGTTCCACTCAGTATAACCTAGAAGGATGATGAACCCAAATATTCATGAAAAAGCCAGGGCAAGTACACCAGTGAGAACTACAACTACACCACCTACTTCATCTTCATTGCCGAAGGGAGGCGATATTAAAATGTTTCTTGCATGCAAGCCTCCTAAGTTTTCTAAAGAACATGA